GAAAAGTCATTGACTTTATCCTCTGTAGAGTTAGACTGTTGGGGTGGGTATAAAAGATGGGGTCTGGAAAATCTTTCTTTCTTAGAAATTTATTTCACGGTTTTGTAGAAATGGTTATATTCAATGCTCTCTATCACTTAATAATATACTTGTGGACTAAAAGATGCAAGTGCTGTATAAAATCAGCTAACTATATTAAACGAACATATCTGCCTTTATTGTGTTTGTCATTAGCCTGAATAGAAAGGCCTTTAAAATTGCGTTTTTAGAAAGCATTTGAATGCATTTTGTTTTGTCTTGCGTTTTTATTTTGAAACAGTGTCCCGCTCTGCCACCAAGGATGGAGTGCAGTGGCAGGATCTTGGCTCATTGTAGCCTCTACCTCTCTGGCTCAAGGGATTCTTCTACCTCAGCCTCCCCAGTTGCTGGGACTACAGGCACTGGCCACCATACATGGCTAATTTTTGCAGATACAAATCTAATTGTTTGTAGATACAGGGTTTCGCCATGTTCCCCATGCTGGTCTTGAACTCCTGGTCTCAAGGAGTCTGCCCACCCAAAATGCTGGGATTACAGGTGTAATTACTGGTGCCCACCCTTTGGTATTGTATTTATTCAATAAAGTATTTAATTAGTGTTTAAAAAGAAAGAAAGAAAAAAAATTGAATTTATTTGTTTCGTTAAATATTCTTAGGTTAAAATGTTAGATTTCATAAAACATTGAGAGGCCTCTGCCAATTTCAATAAAGACCTGACTTGGAAAAATACACACACACACACACGCACACACGCACACTTATATAATTCCTATATAATTCATGTTCTTGTTGCTGTGTTGAGTGGGATGATTCCCCTTTGCCTTTTTTTTTTCTTTCTTTCTTTCTTTTTTTTTTTGAGATGGAGTCTTGTTGTGTCACCCAAGCTGGAATGCAGTGGCACTATCTTGGCTCACTGCAACTTTCACCTCCCGGGTTCAATTGATTCTCCTGCTTCAGCCTCCTAAGTAGCTGGGATTACAGGCTCAAGCCACCATGCCTGGCTAATTTTTAAATTTTTTTGTAGAGACAGGGTTTTACCATGTTTCAGGCTGGTCTTGAACTCCTGACCTCAAGTGATCTGCCTGCCTCAGCCTCCCAAAGTGCTGGAATAACAGGCATGAGCCACTGTACCTGGCCCCCATTTGCATTTTCTAGCTGAATAATAATGATATAGGAAAGCTATTGATTTTTGTAAATATATTTTATAACTGGGGCATATCTTCTTTTTAACAAGTTAAAGAAGCCTGGACAAAATGGTGAGATCCTTCCTCAACAGAAAAATTTAAAAATTAGCCAGGCATGGTGGTGTGGCCTGAAGTTCCAGCTACTCGGGAGGCTGAGGCAGAACTGCTTAAATCCGGGAGGTGGAGGTTGTAGTGAGCCGAGATTGCACCACTGCACTCCAACCTGGGCAACAGAGCTAGACTCGGTCTCAAAAAAAAAGCACCAGCTCAAGCAACCACTTAAGAATGCTGCCCTCTAATAAATGATATATGATTATACACACTTATATTAACATAAGTTTTTTAGTAAACTTTATTTGAATATCATTTGCCACATGTTGACATTTTTGTCAAGAACAGACCACATATACGATGGTGGTACCATAGAATTACAATGGAGCTGAAAAACTCCTTTTCATTTTATAATTTTTAAATCTTATTTTTTATTATTTTATTTCTTTTACCTAATAACCACTTAAGCAGAAAAATTCCTGTTGCTTAGTGACATCTTGATCCTGACTCTGTATAGGCCTAGGCTACTGTGTGTGTTGTGTCTTAGTTTTTAATATAAAAGCTTAAAAAGTAAAAAATAAACATTTCTTAAAATAGAATAAAGATATAAAGAAAACAAATATTTTTGTACAGATGTACAATATGTTGTCTTTTAAGCTAAGTGTTATTATAAAAGAGTCAAAAGTTAAAAAAATTAAATGTTTATGAAATTAACAAGCTGGCCGAGCACAGTGGCTCATGCCTGTAATCCCATTATTTTGGGAGGCTAAGGAGGGCAGATCAAAAGCCTTAATTTCTCAATGTGTTGAGAATAAAACTCAAAAGAAAATTATATGGATTACTCCACAGACTCAAAAGTATTTAATATTTGCCTTTTCTTTTAAAGTCTATTTTAAGTTGTGCTAAGGCTGTATTTCAAGGTGTCTCATAAACACTACCTTTCTCCTTAATATTTTCACTTTGTTAGCTACACTAGAATTAACTCAGAACTGTTAGCAATGACACTATCATGTTTCTTCCATTCTCCTGAAGTTGCCCACTCTCAGGCAGAGATTGTGACAGTGTTGTGAGGTGATGCCGTTTCTGGTTTTGTTTGTTTGTTCTTTCTTATTTTTTTGTTTTTGTTTGTTTGTTTTGTTTTTTATAAGAGAGTCTTGCTCTGTCTCCCAGGCTGGAGTGCAGTGGCGCCACCTCAGCTCACTGCAACCTCCACATCCCAACGTCAAGTGATTCTCTTGCCTTAGCCTCCCAAGTAACTGGGAATACAGGCATGCACCACCACACCAGGCTATTTTGTGTGTTTTTAGTAGAGATGGGGTTTCACCATGTTGGCCAGGCTGGTCTTGAACTCCTGACCTTAAGTGATCCACCTGCCTCAGCCTCCCAAAGTGTTGGGATTACAGGCATGAGCCACTGTGTCCGGCCCATTTCTGGTACCGAAAGCTTTTGTGTTTCTTTCTCTCTCCTCCTAGTCTAACACTTTTAGAAATGTTATCATTTCTTTTCCTTATAATGGAATACTTAACTATAGATTTTCATGGAATGCCAGATATGTAATCAAAAAAGTTGCATTCTCCGTCTGCTTGGAAATTGTAACCTTTTTTTCTTTAAGGCAACTTTATCTCACAGGCTTATGTTTATGGTCTACAGATATTTATCATAGTCTCAACTCAGAGTTGCCCTTAGAACAAAATAGGGTCTACCAGTCATGTAAGTTATTTGGCTTCATGTAGACACACAGAAAAGTTTGATTGTACTGAACTCAAGCAGATCCATTTGTTAAACTGAAAGTCTGAATCTAGCCAGTGGTATTTCCAACCCAATTCTTTTGAGAATTAGTTCATAACCTTCAGCTTGGTATAATCCTTGTAAAATTTATTTTTTTAAATAAATAAATTGAAGAGAACCTTAGCTTGGAAATTCACACATACATATATGCTGCTATGGGAGCAAAAGGTACAATGAACTGTGATTTTGTAAAATGTCACATTAAAGAATCATTATTTTATAACTTTAGTGGCTTTAATAAAAGCTGCTAAAAATCAGCTCAAGATGGATCAAGGATTTAAATCTAAGACTTGAAACTAAAAATTCTGAAGGATGACATCAGAAAAACCCTTCTATACATTGGCTTAGGCAAAGGTTTCATGACCAAGAACCCAAAAGCAAATGCAATAACAACAAAAATAGATAGCTGGGACTTAATTAAATTAAATAGCTTCTGCACAGCAAAAGGAACAGTCAGCAGAGTAAACAGACAACACACTGAGTGGGAGAAAATCTTCACAATCTATACATCTGACAAAGGACTAATATCTAGAATCTACAATGAACTCAAACAAATTAGCAAGAAAAAAATGAATAATTCCATCAAAAAGTGGGCTAAGGACATGAATAGACAATTCTCAAAAGAAGATACACAAATGGCCAAAAAACATATGATAAAATGCTCAACATCACTAATTATCAGGAAAATGCAAATCACAATCACAATGCAATACCACGATGTGATACCACAATCCTACAAGAGTGGCCATAATAAAAAAATAATAGATGTTGGCCTGGATGTGGTGAACAGGGAACACTTGTACACTGCTGGTGGGAATAGAAACTAGTCCAGTCACTATGGAAAAGACAGTGTGGAGATTCCTCAAAGAACTAAAAGTAGAACTACCATTTGATCCAGCAATCCCACTATTGAGTATCTACCCAGAGGAAAAGAAGTCATTATACGAAAAAGATACTTGCACACGCATGTTTATAGCAGTACAATTTGTAATTGCAAAATTGTGGAACCAACCCAAATTTCATCAATCAATGAGCGAATAAAGAAACTGTGGTATATTTCCCAGCACTTTGGGAGGCCAAGGCAGGCATATCACAAGGTCAAGAAATCGAGACCATCCTGACCAATATGGTGAAACCCCATCTCTACTAAAAAATACACACTTGTAGTCACAGCTACTTGGGAGGCTAAGGCAGAAGAATCACTTGAACTGGGAGGCAGAGGTTGCAGTGAGTCAAGATTGCACCACTGCACTCTAGCCCGGTGTCAGAGCGAGACTCTGTCTCATGAAACAAAACAATATAAAACTGTGGTATATGTATACAATGGAATACTGCTCATCCATAAAAAGTAATGAATTACTGGCATTTGCAGCAACCTGGATGAGACTGGAGACTATTATTATTCTAAGTGAAGTAACTCAGGAATGGAAAACCAAACATCATATGTTCTCACTCATAAGTAGGAGCTAAGCTATGAAGATGCAAAGGCATAAGAGTGACACAGTGGAATTTGGGGGCTAAAGGGGAAAGGGTGGGAAGGGGATGAGGGATAAAATACTGCAAACTGGATACCGTGTATACTGCTTGGGTGATACGTGTACCAAAATCTCACAAATCACCACTAAAAAACTTACTCATGTAACCAAACCCCATCTGTTTCCCAATAATCTATGAAAATAAAAATTTTTTAAATTAAAAATAAAAAATAAAATAAAAGCTGCTGAAACCACTCAGCCGCCTTCACAGTAAAAAGCTGCTGTGTGTTGATGCCGGAGAGGATGTGGAGAAATAGGAACACTTTACGTTGGTGGGAGTGTAAACTAGTTCAACCATTGTGGAAGACAGTGTGGTGATTCCTCAAGGACCCAGAAATAGAAATTCCATTTGACCCAGCAATCTCATTACTGGGTAAATATCCAAAGGATTATAAATCACCATATTATAAAGAAACATGCACATGTATGCTCATTGAGGCACTGTTTACAATAGCAAAGACTTGGAGCCAACCCAAATGCCCATCAATGATAGACTGGACAGGGAAAATGTGGCACATCTACACCATGGAATACTATACAGCCATAAAAACAATGAGTTTGTGTCCTTTGTAGGGACATGGATGAATCTAGGAACCATCATTCTCAGCAAACTGACAAAAGAACAGAAAATCAAACACCACATGTTCTCACTCATAGGTGAGTGTTGAACAATGAGAACACATGGACACAGGGAGGGAAGCATCACACACTGGGGTCTTTTGAGAGGGCATAGCGGAGGGACAGGGGTGGGTAGGGAGGTTGGGGAGGGATAACATGGGGAGAAATGTCAGATATAGGTGATGGGGGGGTGGAGGCAGCAAACCGCATTGCCATGTATGTACCTATGCCACAATCCTGCATGTTCTGCACATGTACCCCAGAACCTAAAGTGCAATGATATATATATATAAAGGTGCTGTGTTTTTCATGCCCATTTGCAAACTTTGTGGCAAACTAAATGTTAACCACAACCTTAAAGAAAGGTTTGACCTCCAAACCACAAACAGTGCTCTGAAAGTGCAAAAACAGCAAAAAGTCAAACACAAACAAGCCTAAGGCTTTGTGACACCAGAAGAAACCACAGGTCATAGAAAAACACATTTTCCCTTTCACACTCTCAGTATCATACTCGAGGGCTGGCATGACAGTGAGGGCGTCTGGGCTTAATACAGTCACCATGCAGTCTCAGCCGTCTGCATGTAGCATGAGGACACTGAGTAGGGATGGAATGTGCTGCACATCACTACGAGTGTTCTCATGTGGACTTTCCTCTCTGCATCAGCACCAGAACATCCTCCTGTTGGCTTCAGTGGTCTCTGTGTTGTCAAGGAAAATGACCCAGAGCTACTGTCTACTCACCAGCTTTGCCTGCATCACACTTATAAGGCTCTTGATGCATAATAGGTTTTATTAGTTCCCAAGCCAGTAGTATTGATTAGTAAAGGAGGAAAACACTCCATTTATATGATCAAGCAGCCCCTCTTGATCTTTTAGGTACTTCAACAGCAAAATAGGTAGGCATTTACCAAAAAAGCTTTCATAGGCACACCAACGTTTATATTTTAGCTGCTCAAGGAAAAGAAATGAACCATGGGACATTTCTATAAACAATAGGCCAGGCATGGTGGCTCATGCCTGTAATCCCAGCAGTTTGGGAGACTGAGACAGGTAGATTGTCTGAGGTCAGGAGTTCTAGACCAGCCTGGCCAACATGGAAACCCTGTCTCTACTAAAAATACAAAAAATAAACTGGGCGTGGTAGTGCACGCCTGTAATCTCAGCTACTTGGGAGGCTGAGGCATGAGAATCACTTGAATCTGAGAGGCGGAGTTTGCAGTGAGCTGAGATCTTACCATTGCACTCCAACCTGGGTGACAATATGAGGCTCCATCTCAAAAATAAATAAATACATAAATATTTTGTCTTAATGACTTATTTGCAGAAGTCAATGTATCATTCAAGGAAATAACGTTTAGCATTATAGAGTTCAAGATCATATGCAAAGACCTGTACTCAAATTCCCCTCAAGTGAAAAACAATATGCTAGTGAGCTCAGTGAAGAATTCACGTAAAAAATACATCTCTAGAAAATGCATTTAAAAAAAAATTTATTCAGTAGATTGCACTGTTTATAATAGCAACAAATTGGATGCCAACCAGTAGGAGACTGGTTAAAATACTGGCACGTAGTAAATGCTCACTAAATGCTTATTGAATGAATACATGTATGCTAACAATTTCCATTGCTTTCAACACTGCCTTGCTTCCCTCCTGTTCTCTAGGCTCCTGTTGATTCTGTGAGCCTCAGCAGCTCTCCAATAAATCTTCTCTGTATTTATGATTGCAACCCAAAAAGGCTGATGGACGTATAATAGTAATATAGTAAAAAAAAAAAAAAATCACTTTATACCAATTCCATTCTATAGCAAACAATATTATATTTCAGTTCCAGTATAATCATAAAGGTATAGCTTTTGAATTGGTTTGGTTGTTTGCTGATATACTAAATCACACTTCAACCCTTAAGAGGTTTGAAAATAAAGTGAGATCTCATCACTTGACATGTGCATCAGAATGGAGCAGTGGTAATTAGGACTTCTCGGAGATCATAGGTTCCTACGGATAGAGATATCCTAGATAGTCACAAGGTGAAAAAAAGCACAGCAGTGATAATTAGGAAGACACACAGGTTGGTGGTGGTAGGTATATTATATTGATTTAGTTGCAAGTAGAATCAACCAAGTATCGGACAATGAAGAAGGATACAGGGTCAAGGAAAAAATACAGGGTCCAGGAAAGCAGGAGGTGCTCTTTATTGGAGAACTTAGTGCAAAATAGGTAGCAGGAAAACCCAAGATTATCCTATTCAGAATATGGGACCTGAAGGAAAGAACTAGTAGGAGAAAGCAGTTCTATGCTGTAACTTTATACTCCACAAGTACTGCCATCCAAATAACCTATATTTGGGGCTGGGTGCCATGACTCACACCTGTAATCTCAGCGCTTTAGGAGGCTGAGGCAGGAGGATCAATTGACGCCAGGAGTTCAAGACCAGCTTGGATAACAAAGTGAGAGCCTGTCTGTACAACATAAAAAGTTAGCTGGAGCCAGGTACAGTGACTCACATCTGTAACTCCAGCACTTTGGGAGTCCAAGGCAGGTGGATCACCTGAGGTCAGGAGTTTGAGACCAGCCTGGCCAACATGGTAAAACCCTATCTCTACTAAAAATACAACAATCAGCCAGGCATGGTAGTGGGCATCTGTAGTCCCAGCTACTCTGGAGGCTGAGACAGGAGAATCACTTGAAGCTTGAACCAGGGAGGCAGAGGCTGCAAGGAGCTGATATTGTGCCACTGCACTCCAGCCTGGGTGACAGAGCAAGAATCCATCTCCAAAAGAGAAAAAATTAGCCAGATATGGGGGTGTGCACCTGTAGGCCTAGCTACTCGGCAGGTTGAGACAGGAGGATGGCTTGAGTCCAGGAGTTGAAGGCTGCAGTGAGCTATGATCACACCACTGCACTCCAGCCTGGGCAACAGAGTGAAACTCTGTCTCTAAAATAAATAAATAAATATCTGTATTTAACCTTTAAAGTAACCTCATGAGGAAGGTATTATTATCCCCAATTTGAAAGTGGGAGAACCAGATGTTAAAAGTATATATTTGTCTCAGCATGGGAGGCTCAGAGAGCAGAGTCTGAAGCAAAGGCTAATGTGCTCTATGTTATCAAGGAGAACAAGCCCAGGGAGCAGGAGGAACAACCAAGGGAAACAAGGGAAGGAGGAGGAGTCCACTGGAGAGTATGGTTTTGGGGCCAGCCATCCTGCATCCTACTGGACAGTGCTCACCCCACAGGGAGTTCACACCCCACAAGCATGGCCTGTGCATGCATGGGCACTGAGAGGGCTACGACTGTGCACCCCTGGCATCACTATCTACTGAGAACTCTGAGCAGAGTGCACTACAGGCAGGGTGGTGTGAGGTTGCATTTGTGTGAGGTCAGCTGGAGCCTCGACAAGCTGATCATTGCAAAGTGGTACTCAGGAGCTGCTAGACACCATGCTGTTCAGTGGGGTCTGGGATTTGTTTCGAGTCTTCTGTTACATCTGGATAAGGGAAGAAGGGATAAAGGTAAAGGTGGTGGTGGTGGTTAAAGTAAATTCCAGTCTGTAGACAGTCTGAGAGTTATAGAGTTTAGGAGAATCTCAGGAATATTCTTAGTACGATGTAGAACTTTCCACAGTCTTACAGTTTATGTTCCACAGGTAAACACTATATAAACTGTTCACATATACGAGCACAATTAAAAACTTTAGGATAAAAGAATATATGAGTTGACTTTCATTCATTTATGATTTGAACAAATATATTTGCATTTGCCAAAATGTATTAGTCCCCTATTCTACCTTGACCAAACTATGATCTGGGTACAATGAGGCATGAGAAACCTTGGCAGCAATTGTCTTCATGCTGTCCAGAGACAGAAACATTGTTTCTAGGTGCGAGCTCCTGATTCCAAACCTCTCACCTGTAAGTGACCTTGAGTGGATATAAAATCTCCCTTCTTACCCCAATCTTTTACACGGAAAACACCCTTAATTTAATGTGAAAAATGGAATCAGTATAATGATGGATGAATCACAAATACATATATATGCACACACACACAGATGTGATCCTCTTGCCTCAGCCCCCCAAGAAGCTGGGATTACAGGTGCCTGCCTAAAAATGTAGACCAGCCTAAAAATGTAGACTAAGGTTTGTTTTTTTAATTTAATTTCATTAGTGATACAGACTACTCCATGAATATTGAGTTATTATTAGCAAGCTCTGTAAGTTGACTGGAAAACATCTATCATAAGGCAGGGCAGCCACTAACTGGCAGAAACAGAAGCCATGCAGAAGAAACCATTACATCGTCCTTCAGTGTCACTAGAGAAAAATGACTGTATGGTAATTCACTGTGAAGGCCTGGACTCTACAAGGATTTTATAAATACCAATGTCAGCATATCCATTCATCACATAGAGTGGCTAATATGTATTTTTCATGCAACTTTCTAAGAATTAAAATGTATTCACATAGAGAAAATATCTGTCATTTATTTTTGTTGGATTCTAATTTATGATCATGAAAATCAATAATGTAATTTGAATTTACTTGCTCTTCTTACCATCATCTAAATCATTATTAAATGAAGCCAAGTGACATGCTTCTCTTCATCTCTAAGTGGAAATGCACATTCAATTTATTTTAAAATATTTTGCAAAGCAACATCACTTTCGGAAAACACTTAATAATTGCCTGGCAAATTATTCTCTATGGCCTAGTGCTATTCTTGTTATATTCAAGAGCTTGATGCAGGAAAACCTCAAGGGACTGAACAAGGAGCATCCTCCTGTTCTAAAGATGAGCCAAAGGGAAAGAAGCCCAGACTCCATAATCTTTCTCCCAAAACTTTGATGTTAAATTAGCTAAGTTTAGCTGACCTGACCCTTCTTGTGCTAATGGCTTGGTTTGTTTCCATCTCTCTTTTGCACTCAGGAGCTAAAGGTGCCCTTTTCCATACAGCATAGACACAGTCACAGAGGCACATGGGAGATAGGGCACTCAGCTGCAGGAGGGTCCAAGGACTCAGTGCTGCCTGCAAAGCTTGTGCTCAGCATGGCTTTTTCTAGTTCAACACAGGGACTGCTTGCCCTTCTTCTGTGTCCCCAGACCTAGAGGAGATATTCAAAACACATAAGGGCCAGACAGTGAGGACTCTGATGAATCAGAATAGATGCCCACCAGTAAGCTGAACTGGGACTTCCCAGCTAATGGTCAGCTCTGTTCAGGCCCCTAACCCCTAATCTGCCTCCTCAGCTCTCCATCCACCTCTGCCCCTTGAGGGTGTTTCTAGATACCAAAGAGTAGCCAAATGTGTCAGGAGACATGGCCTAGGGCAAGACATGTGGGAGCAGCATTCTGCTCTGGACAAATGACAGCGGAGTATGAGTCTAGTCTCAAGGAGGACAGTAGGAGAGAGAGAGAAGTACCAAAGAAAGTAGAATAAAAAAGAGACAGGTTGGGCATGATGCCTCACAGCCATAATTCCAGCACTTTTAGAGGCCGAGAGGGGTGAAGGTTAGGAGTCCAAGACCAGCCTGACCAACATGGGGAAACCCTGTATCTACTAAAAATACAAAATTAGCCAGGTGTGATGGTGCACATGCAGCTACTTGGGAGGCTAAGGTGGGAGACTTACTTGAACCTTGGAGGCGGAGACTCCAGTGAACCAAGATCATACCACTGCACTCCAGCCTGGGCGACAGAGGGAGACTCTGTCTTAAAAAAAAGAAAGAAAGAAAAAGGAGAGAGATAGAGGGACACACCCTCCGCTGGTGGGATACACACGGGTGGGCCAGACCCATCTGCTCTGGCTCCCGCCCAGCAGCTTGGAGTGGTCTGACTCATCTGATAGGCAACGGGCTGTCAGAAGGGTATGTTGTTTTGCATGTCTGCTCCTGGGGCATGGTCCTCAGAACAGGCAGGAGTGCTAAACTGTGGGTAAAGCCCCTTAGAGTGCCAAAGGGTATGTTGGTATGCCTGACAATGTGCTCTCTTCTGGCAGGGAGATTGGTAGTTGCATGTGCCTGGGAGGATTTGGGGAACCCAGGAACCTGCACGTCCAGCTGCGAAATGCCACACTTTTTCCTCCTCTGTGTAGCCTTCTCGGGATAGACATGTTTCTATGTCTGCTGCCTTTATAGAAACCTTATGCCATTTCACTGCTTGTGTTTTGTGAATTGCTTTCTATTGTGCACATACAATTTGCAGATAGATTCCAGAACAAGAGCAGTATTTGACAGTCCACAAAAGCATTCAGCTCCCAGGTTATAAGCTGCATTTTCTATATTATATAATATTTGACTTGGCTCCAACACTTGCCTATCATGAGACCCTAGGCAAGTGTTGGAGTCAAGTCAAAGTCAGACTATTTGATTCCCAACCCTGCATACTGGACTCCAGTTTTGTCCCTCCAGGAAAAGAAGGAAATAAGCAATAGGCCAAAGGCCTCAACCTTGGTTACATGCTGGAGTCACCTGAAGAGCTTTGAAGACTACTAACGTCACATAGACTGGGAAAAAATATTCACAGCTCATTTATCTCACTAATGTCTTATAAATGGAATATATAAAGAATCCCTCCCGGAAAAAAGAATTCCTGCAAATGAACTATTGAAAGAGAAACAACACAGTGTTTACAAATAGGCAAAAGACCTGAACACCTTTCACAAAAGCTGATATAAGAATAGCCAATAAGCAAATAGAGAGATGCTCAACATCATTTGTAGTCAAGACTGAAAATAAAATGACAATGAGATGTCCTTTCACACCCACTAGGAGGGCTAACCTCAAAAAGATGATCACATCAATGTCGGCAAAGATGTAGGGTGACTGAAGCTCTCACCCGTGGCCGTGGGGAGTGTAAAATAGGACAGCCACATTGAAGAACTAGAGCAAATCTGTATAACAACATTGGTCTTCAACATAGAAATTCCGTCCTATGCACTTAATGGGGAGAGAAATGAATAGGTTCCCAAAAGAGACTTCTCCAAGAATGCTCATGTAAGATTGTTCTAGTTATCCACCGTAACTAAAAAAATGCTTCCACCTCGGTGAAATACAACCAGTGTTTTTCATGCCTACTGGTTCCGCCAGTGGTCTGGAACTGAGAAGGGGCACAGCTGAGCAGCTCGTCTGCCCCATGATTGCCAGGGTTGGGCATGGATTGTCCCCAGTGGCTCTCCCACTCACATGCTAGTCTTGGGGCTGCGTGGCTGAAGACTGGGCCCAGCCAGGACTTCCATTTGTGGTGTCTGCAGTGGCCTCCCAGCATGGCGGGCTCAAGGCCCTAAAGCCAGCGTTCCCAGAAAACTCCCCACTCTGGGAAGCTGCCTGGCTTTTTCTTTGCATGGCCTTTTATATCACAGCCTCCGAGGTAACACAGGGTCTGTAGTGTCTACTCAGGCTGACATAATAAAATACCACAGACGGGTGGCTTAAACAGTAGATATTTGTTTTTTCATCACAGTTTTGGAGGCTGGAAGTCCAAGATCAAGATGCCAGCAGGGTCAGGTCCTGGCTTGTGAATAGCCACTTTCTTGCTGTGTGCTCACAGTTCCTCCCCTCTGCACCTGTGCAGGGAGGGAGGGAGAGTGAGCTCTCGTGTCTCCTCTTCTTCTTTCGAGTACATGTCAGGCCTATTGAATTAGGGCCGCACTCTTATGACTTCATTTAATTGTAATTGCCTCCCTAAGAGTCCTGCCTCCAAATAGCCACACTAGGGATTAGGACTTTGACATGGGAATTTTGAGGGACAAAATTCATCTGTAACAATATAATTTCCAGTAGTTTCCATTGGTTGAAGCAATCGTAAACCTGCCTGGCTCCAGTGGGAGGGGCTATAGAAACCATTTCTGATGAGATTGTCAAAGATTGTGGCCCTGCTTCAAAACCTCAGCCTCATTCATAATAGCCCAAAACTGTAAACAATTAAAAAATCCATTACCATCAAAATGGATAAATACATCATGATATATTCATATAACCAAATGCTACTCAGCAATAAAAAGGAACATACAACCATGTGGGTGAATCTCAAAAACATTGTTTTGAGCAAAGAAGCCAGACCCACCAAAGAAACAAGCCATGTGATTTCATTTATATGAAGTCAAAGAAGAGAGGAAACTCATCTATGGTGATGAAAGTCTGAAAGTGGTTGCCTCTTGGGGTTGGAGTTCATTGCAAGGGGTGTCATAGACATAATTTTCTGTCGTGATGGGGATGCTCTGTATCTCGTTGTGGATGGTGATTACAGGAGTGTCTAAAACTGTCAAGTGTCTTTGAAGCAAACATCTAATATATGTACATTTCAGTGTCATGTGGATTATTTCTCTATTTACAAAAGTAATAATGATGACGATGCTGGGTCCTACTCCCAGAGATTCTCATTTAGTTAATCTGGGGCAGATCCTGGGCAAGAGGATCTTCAAAAGTTTTCCACAAGATTCCAAGAGAAAGTAAAGCTGAAGACCACTGTGCCAGGCCAGCACAGTTCTCAG